GCTGGAAAACGATGAAGTCCTGTAAGCGCAGCACTCTCCCTGCAGAAGCTTTTCACCTCGTGTTACCTCACGGCGAGTCCTCTTGCTGATGTGCTGTTTATATAGCTACTGATGTCACTGCAGAAACAGATCCTCATAAATCCTTTTAATTCCTGCAGATCCTTTTAAATGTTTCTACGTGGGCAGAGCAAACAATATTGTCCTCATCTCCGAGTGACAAAGTCATCTGTTTTCCTGATGCTCCAAATCCACTTACTTTCACCCAACAAAGTTTTTCCAGTCCAGCTCTCAAGGTGCCATCATGGTGACATTACAACAGTCTGCTCAGTAGCAACAATATCCCCAGGATTAAGTTCTGTGGCTGTAATATAATAATTCCCCTTCCTGACATGTTGAAGAGACCAAGGGGACAGGGACCATACAGCTTCCTCCAGCATGAAACGCAGGCAGGAGTTCAGAGAACAAAAAGGAACAGGACAATAAATGTACCCACATGACCAGCTATTATCTCCATGCAGATGTTGCTGGTATGTACTTTTTCTGGAACCTTACCTCGTTTACTTTATAAGAGCAACCTATTGCGATAATGAAAAGAAAATCTCCATATTCAAGGACAGGCTGAAGATACACAAGAAAAATACCTCCATACCTCAGGTCCTCGTAAGATTTTAAGTTGTTGCCCTCCTGAAGAGGGAGGGGAAAAACAGTTCTCTGGAATGGTATCATCACTACCTTTTTCATCTTTCATTACACTGGCCAGAAACTTACTGACAGCACTACTTGTTTTCTGTCACGTAGCTCCCTCTTACAGGTAGGCAAATCAGTATTTTAACCATTCTTTAATAAGCAGAGCCTATACAAAAGCCACTGCTATTACTCAACGGTGTTTGGAGTGACACAGGCACTTGGAAAAAGCCCGGACTGCTGCTCCAAAAGCACCTCAGCCACCGATGCTCCGCCAGCCGTTCGACTGACGGCGCTTCAGCGCGTTCCCCTACACAGAAAATCCTACAGCGAGACCGATTGTCTAACCCAAACAACAGATGTAGTTATAAAGCCTGGTTTGCACAGCAGAGTAGCAAAGCCCTCGAATTTATGTACAGTCTGACAATTAAAAAAAAGGAGAACTGCAAAAAATATATAAAAAAAAAAATCAGAGTACAAAACAAGGCGACCAGTTTTCAAGCACACCCAATTAGGAGCCATGTGTCGCCCATATTGCCCGTGCACACAAACGGCACGGGAAGAAATCAAGCCTTTCAAACCGCGCTGCGTGTTGGCAGAAGCCGGGAGGCTAGAAAGGAATCAATCTGTACTAGAAACGGAAGGAAATCCAGCATTAAATAACCTGCCTGAATTTAAGAGGAGGAGGAAAACAATAATCAGTCTCGAGGCAACTGTCTTATGCTATGACTACCTTCAGCTATGGAAGCCTCTAAGCAAATCAGAGTACAGACTGTTTAATGAAAATTCATTCGTAACCGTAACAGTCAGTCTGACAAAAGTAACATTAACAACTGTGAGGGGAAAAAAAAAAACCCGCCTCCAAACCCCTCCAATCCTACAGATGACATCTGAAGGGAAATGGGAAGGAGGTTGTGGAGCCGAGAGGACAGATGGGGAACTGGGCCAACAAGCTTTTAGGGACAGGCCTGTGTGATTTCCAACAAAGTCGAGAAGATTAATTGCATAGTGTTGTCTAAGCTCTACTCAATAAATTTTAATACATGGTTTAAAGCTATGCATACAATCATCATATCTCTGTAGGAACAGTATTATATAGTAACAATACAACGTAACCTTTCATTTGAAAAAATTCCAGTGATTTCGATTATTTTTTTACCGTTTATCTGCTATTACTCAAACATCGCTGCTGAGCTCGGCAGAGAAAAAAGAGTCATATTAAAGTGTTGGATTAAACACTAGGCAGCAATGAGGTAAACACAGAGTCACATTTTTAACCAAGATCTTCGTAGTCAGAAAATGCAGACCTTTTGCATTTATCAATACCAGAGTATTTAAGAGAATGAATCAAATGAATGGAAAAGATTTTCCTGTCCTTAAAGCCTAAAAAGCTGTAGGCTGAAGACAGCTATCCATTCTGCACACACCTTTAATTTTCATCTTTCTAACACCTCGCTGTGCAAGCCTCATTAATTTAACCTCTCTTAATCCCTCTTAAATTTTACATAATTTGTACCCTTAGCTACAAATGCATCTCCCTATACGTAACCCAGCCATAAGACAGAAGCTAAGATTTTCTTTTGTAATACATGCCAAAACTGCTTTCAAATATATTACACACTGGGAAGCGTATTCGAGATTTCACTGCTGTTAAATTATGTTTTAAGTAAAATTTAAAAATCAGTATAGTCAACTAAGGTTTCAGCTAGGCTCATGGCTCTCCAACAACGAGCTGCCCAATAATGTGCGTTCTCATTGCTCTCTGCAGCTTTCAAGGTGAGATAGACAAGTTTAAAAAAAAAAAAAAAGCAAAGAGCAAACTAAACAGAAGAGTTTCAAGGCAAGGGTACATCTCTTATGCTAATTAGTAACGCTGAAACGTAAAATTCAAGAAGCAGGTTTTTAAGTTACAAAACATATAAAGTATCTCGATTATCACGAGCTCTACGACTTTCCTTGTTCTTTCACTAGATAACCTCCTCCAGATCAGACACGATCACTTTCCCTCACCACTTTTCTTCAAACCGTGCAGAAAGACAGAGAAAGACAGAACGAACCCAGCTGCCTGTGGCCAGCACTAGCTGAGACGGGGCAGACCGGCTTTCAAATCCTTTACGAGACCGCGCAACCTCTTCCAGACACCCACCGGTCCGGTAAGGAGGAGCTGCTCCCCGATCAGCAGTTCTGCAACCACCACCACCAAAACACGGCGGCTGAAGCACTGGGCTTCCTGGAGAAGGCTGTTCTCCCCCACCAACAACCACGGGAGCTCCCTGAAGGCCACTAAGGGCTACGAGTACTCGGCCAGCACTTGGAGAGCATTCCCTGCGCGCAGGTTCTCCGACTCACCTCCAGGCTGATGCTGTGACCGAGGCTTTACCTTGCATTTCACTCTGTAAACAGAATCTCCGCCAGCGGGTAAGTGCTGGCAAGTGAGACGGTTCGGGCCATAACCAAAGCTCTTGACAGCCTGCATGTAAAGATTTCTCTTGGGAATGGGTACTCTGGTGAAAAACACAGCACAAACAAACCACCTAAGCTCTCCCCCCACCACCAGCACTTCCAGGCTCTCTCCCCTCCTTTGTTAATCACCTGGCAAAGGTGCAGACTCTGTGTAACTGCAGTACTGAGGCCTGCTGTTCCGCAAATACTCCTCAGCCCAAGTCCTGCTCCTACCACACAAAGCGCTGACACTTCTCCATCCTGCTACAGGCTAAAATTGAGATCACAAACTGATTTTCCATCTTAATTCTAAGCAAAACCTTTTGGCGACAAAGACAGTGTACTGCATTGTACCACTGAGCCCACACAACAGCTGTTCCTAACAGATTCTAAATTATTTTTCATCCTCTGACACCGAAAATAAGATTGCCACCAAAGCTGACGCTGTTACAGGCTCCCTACTGCTCGAGCAACAAGTATAACTGAGCTACAAGCCCTGAGCAAGAGAAAAACATGCCATTGCAAACCATCCCAAGGATGTCTGAAGCATTTCAATAGACAAGCTATTCTGACAAACACGGGTAGATTCAAGTGACAGACTTCACAACTTTCACACGGAAACAAGTAGGGAATGCAATACCTCCAAACCCAGCAGAATTTCAGCCCAGCCGTATCTGCAGCTGATAATGCCCCCCCCACACACAACCAGTATTTTAGAGCCTTTACAGCAACTACAACTGGATAGAGCATTTAAACCGAGGGCACCTCTACTCATACAATGAGATTTTAGTAGCTGAGATATACGGCACCTCATGGTAAAATTGGACAAGGTTTTATCTCATTAGTTTCCATGGTTCTTAGTTTGAATCCATCTATTTTGCTCCAGCAGCGTTGCTACAGCACACCGATCTTTTTACAGAGAAGTAATATAAAACTACAAGAGCCCTTAAGCCAGTGCTTTGAACAGTAAAGCCAAACATAACTACTTCCTGAGGTGGAACAAACAACTGCAATCAACACTTCTAAAATGCTGTGTATACGAATACAGAAGTTTTTACTCAACATCGAAGACGACAGCTGAATAATCTAATTTTAAAGCACAACTTAGTTCTGAGGAAGACGTTAGCTGGCAGCAGCCACGGTAGTTAGATCCTGAAACCTTATGTGAGACCCTACAAACCTTATGTGAACTTGGCTGTAATGAACAGGCAAGTCCAGGACATCCAGAGCACAGCGCAAGCTTCTGCTTTGGTCCCTAAAACATCCCAGACACTTGCTGACACCGACCCTGCCTGTTCTGAGCAGTGGCTGAGCTGCTGTGCATAGTCATTAGTCGGCTGTTAACGAGGGGGGTGAAATCAATGGCCTAACAGGTATGAGATCTTAGGTCACCTCATTTATATTTCACAAACAGAAAACAGGGAGGAGCTCTACAAAGAAATCAGATTTGCAGAACAAAAGTGTCAGAAAGGTTGGAAGATACCTGTCACCTAGTCACATCTCTAGCCCAGATCAAGACTTGTTTAGAAGCTGGAGCCAAGAGCTCACAGCTTTACGCAATTTAGTTTCAAAATTCCCAGAGACAGAGATTCCATATGATACACTACTAATATAGTAGAAAAGAAAAAAGGGTGGCTCTTTTTCAAACAGGAGTTAAGTTCATTCCAAAAAAAAAAATCAGATATTACAAGATATAATCAAAAGCTTTTGCATGCATACCCAGATTTGTCTCCAGTGGAACGGTGGCAACCTGCCCCTAGGACAATCATAATTTAAATTAACAGAGAGCACATTGTGCTGTCTGCTGCAGCCAGCTAACGAGTAGCTCTGGTGCAAAATTACTTTCAAAGGAAACATAACATAGAATTTCTTACCTCCGGGCCTGTACACAACATCATCCTCCGTGATAAAAGAAGTTATTTCACCGTTGTCTGTTCTCTCATATCGGGACTTCTTCTTGGGTGGTTTCTTTTTGCTTTTCTTTGTGGACTCCTCTGTGGTGGCACTGTTGTTGTCATTGTCCTCGTCTTCACTGTGGTCACTTTCCGCATAATTCTTGGCGCCTCCTTCCAACGTACAGCTCCGCCGAGGACGCGAGTTCTCGCTCTCCCTCGCCTTGTCTCTCTTGTCTCGCTCCTTATCCCGGTCTCTATCCCTGTCCTTCTCTTTGTCTTTGTCTTTTTCTTTGTCCGCTGTCATGATTCGCCACGTGCCTTCTTCTGTCCTCTCACGGCTGGGCCTCCGTGAAAGGTAGACAGTGAGCCTGGGCTTCAGTCTTCTGAATTTCTCACTCAAATCCAGGAAAAATTCAACCACTCCAACAACCCCAGCGTTTTAAAAAGGTTCTTGAAGGGGAGGGGTGGGGGGAAAAAGAGGGGAAAAGCCCATGTTAATATTCAAAATTCTTTCAGTTTCTGAAAATAAGAATTAAAACCAAAGAAAACCCCACATCCGAAAGCAATTTGGCACGGAAAACACAAGACAGTAAAACACAAGGCGGTCTTTTGAAGTATTTGTAGAAACGGTAACTTATGAAGAGTCTGTAAAATGAAGCTATCCTCAAAAAGTTCTCAATTCTTTAAAAAAAAATCTTTTGTTCACTACAGAAATATAATAACTACCTGGTCAGGAAGCGCTCACTGAGAACACGTATCATTTTATACCTGAAGCTAAAGCAGCATGCAAGTGGGGAAAAAAAAAATCAGGAAGGGACAAGTACAAAAAAGGAAGAATGTACAACTTTTTTTCCTTGAAGCAAATGACAAGGTTGATCAAAGGGCTGTGCTGCTTTACATCTCAGCACCACGAGCAAGGGCTGCCCTGGTACCGGGCAGAGAAAGCCTTCTGCACCTCAAGTCTTCCCCCCACCCCACTTGTCCAAAAATCGAGCTAACTTGTAATCCACAGATCACAGGAACGAATTAATTGAGACCAAACCACAGTAGTTACAAGCACACAAATTCTGCTTTTCCATATATCACAAATTACACCTTTGGCACTTGCTTTACCAGTAGCAGAACACACGGAGATGGATTTTACAATTATCACCTTCACACACTCATTTTCCTGCTGGGGAACAGGAAGGGAAGAGATAATATTGAGCTTTTACTTCCCTGATCATTTAATCAATACAGTTAACATCAACTGCATCTCTTTTTTTAACTCCAATGCAAGTTTAGATTTAAAAAACAGGACTTGCTGTTATAGGAGCAGTCTGAACAGTTACAGCTACTACTGAACAAGACTCATACCCTTTCTTTCTGTAAATATTCAGCAAAGAAGACTATTTCCAGAAGGGCGCATCCAACACACAAAGGTAAGTTGTGCTATTTTTTTCCCCTAGCTACCAATTCAGGATAAAGTTGAATTTACCCAAAACCAACTCCTCAGTTTGGTCCAACTCGAAATTAGCCCACAGCGTGAAATGCTACAGCAGGAAAGTCAGGGAGCTAGGAAGGATGAATGCTCCTGTGTTAGGCATCTGAAACCACATTATAGAAGGGAAAAAAACGACTACTTTGATTTTTAAGAAGTCAGCTGAGAAGTCAGTGATCCTGTGTATTTGAAATTTTTCCACTCTTACATGAAGTTCAGACTACAGTATTCTTGTCCCTGTTGACTACTACTGCCAGCGACAGAAATATCCAAAGAGAGACAAATTGCCTTTGCTGATACAATTCAGACTGTGGCTCGAATCTCTCAGGCATTTCCTGAATGAACCGATCATCCAGGTAGGAAATGATTCTATTTTCTTCCCTCCTTATAGCAGCTGCCATCATTCTGATAACACACAAGGGGAATCCAACACAACTCCCGTGGAGAAGACCACAATGAACCTGTCAGTCGCCAGAGAAGTTGCGGCTGACGGCGATGGCAACCCTCTGCGGGACTTCAGAAATGTCTTCAGTTTCTAGGGGCTAGGAAATTCCCCAGTAGCAAGCTTGAGGGGTTTTTTTCCTATTGTTGGTGATACAAAATGCACTTGAGAGAGCAAATAATCTATTCATTTTGAATGAAAACTAATTACTTTCCCAGGGCAATCAAAAACCTACAGTGGCATCTCAACCTACGTACAAGAGAGGTTTGTGTGTTCCCAAGATCAGTAACCAAAGCTATAGGATGCACCTTAAAATTGTATTCAATTACCAAGGATGGATAAAATCCAGCCACTTCTGATGATTCTCATATACTAGCCCAGGTTCTGAAAGACTCAATTTTTGAGTTCAGTACATAAACACAAGGAACCAAAGCCTAATCAAAAGAAAAATTCTTCCATAGCTTTTTCCCTTGCTTCTCACCTTAGTTGTGTTCTATCACTGCCCGCTCCTGTTTATTAAAACTCGAACGTTGTTGGCACGTTAATTTTTGAGAACTTAAAGGAACTCCGCTCACATCTTACACCTAGCCGTTAGGTTTACCACCAGTTCTTAAGCTTACGCAAGGTCTGAATTGTGCAATATCACGATGGAAAACCAATTTCTGTTCATGACATCTTCCAGGGAAAGAAAAAATCCCTCCTACAGAGCCTGCCATGAAGCACAAGCGAAGCCTCCGAAGGCCAAGGAGCTGCAGAGGAGCCACTGACGAGTCCCAGTTCTCACCACTAATGAACAAGCACAAACACTGCAGGACCTGCTAGAACTCTCCACAGAACTGCAGATTAAAGCCCTTGTTTCTCTCAGATTAAATTTAAACAAAGTACTTCAGTGTTTTTATTACAAGTCCAATTATTACAGGCTTCCCCTCCCCCCTTTTTTTTTTTGCACAACAAAGTTCTGCACAAAAGAGTAACACTGAATAAATAAATAAATGCTATTTTCATAATGATCTAGTTTACTGCAGGGCTGTGCAAGAATTTGCATATACCACAATCAACTCAGTGTGTTCATTTATGAAACTTCCAGCTACAAAACATACAAAACTGACAACCTCCTCTTAACTCCTGTTTCAGGAGAACCCATACAAAAGCAATTTCCTGTCCAATGTATTTAGGAACAGTATGGGAAGCCTCTTCATCTCATGGGAATCTCGACTGGCATTAAAAGGCAAGGATGAAATCTCCACCGCAAGCGTCACTCAACTTTCTCTCACACACACACATCCAAGACTGTTTTACAGCAAAACACACTGAATTTCAAAAATATCTCAGGACTAAAAACCAACATCATCAAGAAACTGTGCCTACTTTTCCCTCTCTAAAAAGAAAGCAATCACAAAACCTGAAGAGTAGTTACACCACGACTTGGGGGGACACGCACAGACAACACAAAACCAACAATCAACAGCTGAAATAAAACCAGACAGAGGATTCCCTTAAACAACCTCAGGTGTGTAGCTGTAATACAGGACTACCAGAAGAGCAAATAAAAACTGTTCTATCAGCAACTGCCTAATTAATCTGGAGTCATTATTGCCTCAGAGAAGTACTTGATAAATAATCTTTATTATTTAAGCAACAGTTCAAGCATGTTTTAAATATTCCAAGACATATTTTGTCTCTACAGTGAAACACAACATTGCCCCTTGTTATCTCACTTCTTTTTACTCACTAACACCAGAAATCAAAAGCAAATAGCAATTAATAAATAGAAGCATACACACAGCATTTAGGAAGATCTCTTCAACCATAAGAGCAGAAAATCTCTTACAACTGAAGTACCTCACCTAAACTTAAGCTTTTGCATTTCATCTCACACATTCTTACATCGACCCCTGAGCAGGAGCACACCACCCACTCCACATTCAGAAGCTCTAACGTTGCCTAATCACTCTTGACCAAAATGTAAATACTGAGAGAACCCATCCGCTGACTCAACACTATTCATCAGCTCCAGATGTAGTGGTGGGTTAAGCACTTTTATCATTCTGTATGTAATTACTCATGGAGACGGAACCCATAAAACTAACACTATCACAAAAATTAGAAAAGCACTGCGAGCCTTCTTTTTTGTTCTGTAAAGTAAACTGGGATAATACGTCCCTTATATTGCCAAATACAGTAACCACACAGATGTTTAAATCTGGATTAGGACAGCAGAAGCAAATACATTGAAAGATTTTTAAGTGGTTTTGGCAAGCTCTGGAGCTTGGGTTTCCAGTTATTTTACTCACTGGCAGCTCCTCATTCTCACTCTACCAAACCACCACCAAAGCAGCTGCGTCTGTCATCATACGACAGAAAAGGAATTCAAGTTACGGCACCACAGGGTGAAGAGCATTAGCTGCCTTTGAGACTGCTTTACTGCGTCTTCCATGGGGATTTTTTTCAAGATTAATCTCAGAAAGAAGTCATTTAGGCTAAAAGGGGAACGTTCACTTTACAGTGGCTGACACCAGTATACAAAGGAGTGAAAAAGTAGCTCCCATCCATTACTTGCTTAATGCAAGTTGGAAAAGCTGAGGAAGGACGTTAGCTTCACTGCCATCACACCCTCAGGCTTTTTGCTTGTTACACAAGCCAAAAATGTGTTTGCAGAGCTACTCACTGAAGTCTTCTGTTCTCAGGTTTCCAGCAGACACGTACAAATTCAAATCACATACAGATGCTCTTATTCCAGTTAAAAGGTTCAGGTCTCCAGAAATGAAGAAACAGAGGACAGTAGGATTCCGGGAGCAGACAGGAAGCTTAGTTTTGGAGTCTGGGCCAGACACAATGAAGGCAACGGCAGGAAGTATCCCAAGTAAAGAAAGGTCTGAAAGCAGGTGCTTCACCGAGTCAGAAGTTGCCCCTGCATCATTCTGCTACTTAGTACCACATCCCAAACACGTGAAGTGCTTGCAAACAGTACTTTTATACAAGAAAAGGTGTTTAACACTGCACACCAGTTTCTCAGAAGAGTTAAAAACAGCAACAAACTCAGACAAGTCTGGAGTATGACTCCTCTGCCCAGAAGTTCAAGAGGAACAATTCAGTGCAAATGAAGTTGGAAAGAAAAGCATTGTCGTTACGGTCCCTGCACTCCTGAAATGGCCTTTTGCACCTTCAACCTCTCTGAGGGCAAGGTGAGAGCAGTGCCACTCCAGACTGGAACACACAAAGGTCCCAGGCACCGCTGAGGACACGGGACATACGTGCACCTTATCACCAGCCCTTCTCTAGCCAAAGCCAACTGCAGTCAGGCGTCAGATTTGACTCTCACCAAACCCTGCTCAGTTCCACTCCCGAAGACAGAGGGGACAGAAGATGTCACAATGAATAC